TTAGAATATATTGATAAATAATAAAATTAAAATAAAATCTATACAATAATTTAAAAATCAAATAAAAAAATTTAATTTAATGATCAAATTGAGAATTTAACCTTTATATTAACCTCACGATAATTTTACATATAACCCAAGGTTTTTAAAATCAGACCGATCATTGAACCATTTTTAAGTTTGGTTTTTAATTTGATCGGTTTAATCGGTTCAATCGATGAATCGACCGATTTAAATAACAAGGGAAATTTGATGAGAAAAATAAGTAATTTTGTAATTTCATTAAAATTAAGGGTTAAAATCGGTATAAAAAAAGAATGGTGAGGGTGAAATTGGAAAAATTAAAAAGAAAATTGCATAAGAAATTGAACCGGTAGTTTTTTCGATTCTACCGATTCCACTGGTTTCATCGGTTTTTGACCGATTTTGAACGGTTTGACCGGTTTTGAACGGTTTTTGACCGGTTTTGACCTCAAGCGGTTTTTTGTATGAACCGAGCCATTTTCATTAACGGGTACCGGTTCAACCGGTTCAACCGGCCGGTCCGGTCCGGTTTTAAAAACCTTGATATAACCTGTCACACTCTTCTTCTCACCTCTTGTACTTCTCTCAGCTGTTTCTCTTCCAAAATCTCAAAAATGGAGATGGGTTTGGTTTCCAAGGATTCAAGCTGGTGGGTATTCACTCTTCCGGCCTTCTTTGGGTCCCAAAGGCTTCTTGATGGCTACGTTTTCTTTTCTTTTGTTATGGCCGTCGTGTCTCTTGCCCTTCTCACTTGGACTTTTGCCGTTGGCGGCGTTGCATGGAAAAACGGAAGGAATCGAAAAGGTCAGATGCCCATCCCTGGACCTAGGGGTCTCCCTGTTTTTGGTTCCCTTCTCACTTTGAGTCGTGGCCTGGCTCACCGATCCCTCGCTACCATGGCTTGGTCCGGTGGCAATACCCAGCTTATGGCTTTCAGCCTCGGCTCGACCCCTGTCGTCGTTGCTTCTGACCCCCACACCGCTCGGGAAATCTTGACTTCTCCTCACTTCGCCGACCGACCTATCAAGCAGTCAGCTAAGAGCCTCATGTTCAGCCGCGCTATTGGGTTCTCGCCAAACGGAACTTACTGGCGGCTTCTTAGAAGAATTGCCTCGTCACATCTCTTCTCTCCGAGGCGCATTTCAGCACACGAAGTTGGACGCCAGCGAGACTGCACCATCATGCTGCGCAACATTGAAGCCGAGCAGAAACTCCACGGATTTGTCTCTCCAAGGAAGCACCTTCAGTTTGCTGCCCTAAACAATATCATGGGTGGCGTCTTCGGAAAAAGGTATGACGGTGAAAATGATGTCACAGAGCTAAAGGAGCTCAAGGAAATGGTTAAGGAAGGGTTTGAGCTTCTGGGTGCATTTAACTGGTCCGACTATCTTCCATGGTTGAGTTATTTTTACGACCCGTTTCGCATCAATGAACGCTGCCAGAAACTCGTCCCCCGAGTCAGGAAACTCGTCAAATGCATCATTGAAGACCACCGTCACCGGGATTCTGAAAAACTCTCAGATAACGCTGATTTCGTTGATGTTCTGCTATCTCTGGAAGGTGAAGAGAAACTTCAAGAGGATGACATGGTGGCTGTATTATGGGTACGTTTTTTTTTATTTCTGTTAATCACATGGATTAATTCCGAGTTCCACTCACCGAGTTTGATTTTGTGAGTATTAGGAAATGATATTTAGGGGTACTGATACGACTGCTTTGTTGACCGAGTGGATCATGGCTGAGATGGTGTTGCACCCGGATGTACAAGCCAAACTGCATTCCGAGATTCACGGTGCCGTGGGGAGCAGCGGGAGTATTACCGACGCCGATGTTGCAAAGCTGCCTTACCTTCAGGCAGTGGTGAAGGAAACGCTTCGTATCCATCCACCTGGCCCACTCCTTTCCTGGGCCCGGCTTTCCACATCAGACGTACAGCTCAGCAATGGCATGCTAATCCCCGCCAACACGACTGCCATGGTGAATATGTGGGCCATAGCTCACGATCCCCGCGTCTGGGAAGACCCCCTGAAGTTCAGGCCGGAGAGGTTCTTAGAGGCCGACGTGGACGTCAGAGGTAGTGACCTGAGGCTGGCACCGTTCGGGGCCGGGCGTAGGGTGTGCCCCGGAAAGAATCTGGGACTGGTGACGGTGAGCCTGTGGGTGGCGAAGTTGGTGTTGCATTTCGAGTGGGTCCCAGAGACGGCGCACCCGCTGGATCTGAACGAGGTTTTGAAGCTGTCTTGTGAGATGAAGCATCCGTTGTGTGCGGTGGCTGTGGGAAGAGGTGGTGTTCCGTTTTAGCTGTTATGGGTCTTTTATTATTATTTTCTCGGTTTTCGCCCTGTTTTACCTGTTATGGTTAGGATCTTATGAATAGGTTTAGCTAATTATGTTCTCTAATCAAGCTGACGTCGAGATGTATATCTTGCTAAATCTATCTAAGTTATTCCTTACTCGGTTTATAATTATATAATATAATATAATTAGGTAATTTAGGAGCAATTTATGAAAACATATGTTGTGCGGGAGGTCTAGTTTTTGGAGGGATGGGATTGTTAGGACTCCTGATGCACCTGTTAGTCTCTCTCAAACTCTAATGGTGAAATATATTTTGCCATTTTTGTTCTAGTAATCATGCTCATAGGTATTTTATTAGTAACGCTTTCGAAGGAGGTCCAAATAGTGATGAAGTTCAAAGGCCAACACTAACAACCCTAGCTAGCTCTTAGTTTTATTTAAATCAAGTTCTAATGCCAACGCTGGTCAATGTAAATACCAATTTTAATGTTTGAAAACATTTTGAAGCCTTAATTTAATAAATAGCATATTA